ATCTTGATGTTCGTATAGAACTTAGTGGTTTAAAGTCATTCGTTAATGTTTAAATGCTAGAGGATATACTCAAGTAAAAAGAATTTTTTTAGGGATCACACGATTCAAAGTGATATATATTTACTTTTAATAATTATTGTATCAAAATTAAATGATTATTTAGACTGTACACTTAGACACTTTAAGGGATAAACTCACAGAAACAAAGAAATTCGTAAACAAATTTGAACTACACTAGCAGAGTCAAGAATGCATTCGAATTTTCAGAATGTTCTTTTTAATAGTACAAATAATGGGTTTTTCATAAAAATAAATTATTTCTAAAAAGGTAGAGTCTCAAATTATTAAGTATGATCTTCATGTTTTGTAGACAGTATTTTAAAAGAGATTACATACGTATGATAAACGTATATACTTCAAATTGGAATATCAAGACTCTGTGATTGTTATGAGAATATAGATCATGTGAACAAAAAAATTAAAACAACTAAAGGCCTAATTCAATTAGTCGCTAATTATAAACTATGACAAAAGAGAAACTCAAGACAAAACATGGTTAGGACGTGTACTTAAGAGCATTTAATTTACAGGGATGCATATTTAATCGTAGAATTGATGATTGCAGGTTCTGGTCAAAAGGAATGTTGAGGGGAAATGATGATGAGATTCTCGTGGGAATGAAGGATTCTGGGGTGGAACTGGTCAATGACTGTGTGGGGTTGGAGACACCCCTCGGCTGTCTGATGCTGTGATTGTAGGCGATTATGACATCAGGGTTTTGTTTAAAATCTAAAAGTAAAAGTAATCTCTCAGCTAAGAAAAAAATGTTGAAATCATTACGTTGTATATTTGGATTAACAAGGAGACTAGTTTGTGGTATTAATTAATCTATTTGAAAATCTGATCGTCAATATTAATGTCAATACTAATTTCAAGTTTAGAAATTTGAATGATGCTAGATGTGCGGTTACAGAAGAGCCATTTTCTGAGACATTCTTAATTCGGTGGTAAGTCATATGTATTATGTTAGTTTAAATTATGAATTTCACTAATAAATAAGCATTAATATCCAGCCATACTTCTCAAATAAATGTGGAAAAGGTACAGAAGTAGATTAAATCATTCGAAACTATAATTAACCACTGTATGTAAGCTACAAGTTTTACTTAGCTGTGGATAAACGCAATCGAATTGCCTTACAGATTTGTAGTTGTGGGTGACACACAACAACAACAAAAGGTAATCTAAGTTCAAGTTCTTGAACCTGGGAAAGCAAAGAATAAGTTTACAACACAAATACTAACAAGCTTTGATAATCAGTAGTTAATTGTCTACTGTGCAAACGATCAAGTCCAAGAATCTAAAAGATCTGAGATTAAAATGTAGGGCGCCAGTAACACCGTCCAATTTATGTAACGATTATGCGAGGTAGGTGAACTCAGGAGAAGTGAGGAGAAAAGAAAGGAAGGAGAGAGCACAATAATTGTATGTGTGTTAATTACAGAGGATATGTTGGACATGCGTTGCCTCGCCAAGTAAAACAGGACCAGGTGGCCAAACTATTTCTCAGGTTAAAGGATGCATTTAGAATTCACCAAACCTCTTGGTCACCTCTTGATCTTGGTCGGTTTGATTTAACATCCCATGGTGTTATCATTTACAAATGTCTTTGTTTTTTTCATTTTCCCCGGAATATTTTTTAAAATTTCGAATTCCGACTGCTTTTAATTGTTTTCGAATGCAATGTGAAATTTTGGTGATTTTGTGACCTAATCAAAAGTTACCTTGAATAATGTACGCGGTGTTGTTACTTAAATGATTATTACAGACATTTTCGATTACGACATGAAAACAAAATCCAAATTTTAACGATGTCAGCCTTGCTTGACTCACCGTTGAAGACATGCGCATTGTGAGCTACTACCCTCCATTTTGTTGTAACTATGGTTTTCTTTCCGAGTTTATTGTTTCATGGTTTGACAACTACTGAGTTCGTGTGGTTTAATTTTGTGATTTCCCAACGTAGGCTGGGTTTGTCTAAGGGCGGGATAAGATTTAAGCTCCCAATTATCGTGAAGCAATAATCATTTGCAATAAATTTAACATCACTGCAAACGAATTTCAAACCAATATGACTTTTGTGACATCACATGTTTTGATATCCTCGTCCATATTTAAACGCAACATTTATAGTGCTAAGCCGCACGGGCCTACTAATTAAGCCATAACCTATAGACCCTCAGAATATCCATGCCTCCTGCCAGTTAACCACCGTTGATTGCTAATTTGAATCTCATTTGAATCCCGACAACTACTACTTAAGACAACACAGCCTATAAACCTAGGAGTATAAAAGTAATAAACCTCACATTTTTACAGCCTGTAACGGGTTGAGGGTGGTTCTCTACGGTTATTGCCTCGGAATGTATTCCTCCCCGACGGCGAATCCACCCCCTGGGCAGGATTGATGACGATCTCGCCGGTGGTCCGCGAACTACCCTTGTCCCAGTGTCGACTTATTGAGTCATTAACAACTCCATAACTCTTCCTCATGATTTATTCTCCGCCACCCTTGCAGAATCCAGCAATATCAAACCGCATCTCGCCCGCGCCTCGCCACGCCTTCCAGTTTGCTGTTAATTATGTTGCTCCGTTAATTATTTTTAACCGGCGATTTTTTCGCTCTAAATCACTTTCGGCTTCTGTATCGTTTGTGTGTGGTATTGGCGGTGGTTTATGGCGTCTAGACCATGGTCTAGACTACGTTGAGATAGTTTTAGAGATTTCTGATTTGTAGCTTCTGATTTAAAAGGACGTTCTAAGGAAAAGAGTTCTGCAGTCAGAAAATTTACGTTACCTACGGGTTTCTACGCAGGAAACTTAAAGACGAGTTTTTCTATAGGGTTAAATTAAATCATAAGATTAATTATGTGAATTTAATAGCAATAGGATAGTTTGTAAAGTTGAAAAATTAACAATTTCGCCCTCGAAGAAAAACCATGTGCCTTTGTTAAACTCGTCCTAACTGCAAGAAAAACATGGCAAATCAATTCAGCTACTCCCCCTGACGTTTTCTGTCGATCCCTAGAAAGTGTTTGACCATCCAAAATCCAAAAAAAAATTTGACTGTGGTTATTTATTCCGTCAAAGTCTAGTTTTTCAAGCGCAAAAATTTTCAATCGGATTGCTATCCTTCTTCGGATTATGAGCTCGTCTTCTGATAGAACACAGTATTTTTTTGTAGTTTGTTTCCCAGGATTGAGAATGATGTTTCACTTTTTTATCCATGTGAGAATTTCACTACCCTATAACCCTAACCTATAACCCTATAGCCCCAGAAGAGAGCATAACGTCCTAGATGTGAAGAGGACAAAACAGTTCTGCAAGGAGAAACAAGGTGGCCTAGTTGTACAGTGTATTAGGTTCCCAAAGTCTTGGTATAGGTAGTGTTGTTCCATCATCAATCAGACAGTTACGCGTGGTGATGCAACTGTTGAGGAAGGCCCGGTACCGGCCCGCGGCGAGCGTGGCAGGCGTGTCGGCGCCGCTAGAGTGCGTGCAGCTCACCGCGTGCCCCTGGTGGTCGCTCGTCAGGCCGCTGACGAGGTGTGAACGGACATTAATATTGATAAGTCCATACAGCACGCCAGAGCACCCTGGGCTACTGATATGGGGCAACTGGAAGAGGAGGAATCCAAACTAAATATATTATCATCGTTTAGCTTTGAGAGGATATCCTACACAGAAATTATTCCCTGCCTTAGTGATAAATAAGTTTATCATATATATTTTGACCTAGATTGTTAACCATGGGGATTTTCCAAGCCTTTTTGTCCACGTAAGAAAAAAAAATAACACAGTCCAAATCCTGGCCTTGTCCAACGTCCAACGTCAATATGGTGCTAGAAAGCATCAGCCCTCTCACAAATTGCATCTGCCTTAAAATTCGTTCGCAAAATTTAGGTGGTTTGATGTGAAGTGATTCCATCAACTCAATCTCGCTCCAACGTTAAAACAAGAGCCGACAGCTGATCAGCTGATGTATGCATTAGGCTAAAAAAGTGGCGGGGGAACTCAGGAAACATTCCCTTTAAACCGCCAAAATTTTGTGAACGAGCTATAGTAATAGGAGTGTCCCAGGACACCAGGTAAAATACATATGTTTAGAGATATCCCCATATTGCTAAGGGTATAGAATTGACAATTGAAATGTTCTGACCCAAAATTTTAATGAGACATTTTTCACGTAATAAATTAATCAAACGGTTATGGTGGTAAGATTTGAGCCCTAATCTTCAAAACGGAAGCCTCGTACTTTAACAACTATAGACCAGGCGCGTTCAAAATCTGTAGAAGTGATGCAATTTTTAATAGTGCTTTTAATAGTAGCTTTCGGTTTAGCAAAATCTCTAGATATTTCTCAACCGAGATACTTTATCTAACTCTTGGATTACGCACAAGAGATTGTGGTTATCACATAACGAGATGTAATTGTATGGACATATCGAAGGGCAGCATGAAACCAAGACATAATTCTGTATCGTAATTTCATTCAGTAGCAACTGTCTCTGTCTTTGAAACGCACAGCTTTAAAGGTAGGTCTAAGCCTGGTTAATTGTATTAGCGAACAACATCTTCAGTAGATGTAAACACAAGAGTGGAGTAGACATAAAAAAGTGAAAACGTTAGAAAAAAGCATATTTAAATATATAAACCAGTTTTACTGTCAATTAACACAATGTGTAGCGGATATTTTGTTACTCTATAAACAGTGTAAACGTGTTTTACGGGTTAACTTTCGCTACTAATTAATTAAAGCACGGCCTGTATGCAGTCATTCATTAAGCTACATATGATTCAGCGTAATACATGAAGATTGTATAACAAACTGGAAACACTTCTTTCATAATTGCTGAATATAAAACCACATCCAAACATCCAGTAGAGCACACTTTCAGGATGGCCGCTCTACTGGCAACATTGTGTCTTCTAACGCTAGCCTCCGCCGAACCCTTCCATCACCACGTCCAACATCATCACGAGCACGTCAAAGCCATCACGGTGACCAAGAAGGTGCCTGTGCCGTACCCTGTCACCATCGAGAAGAAAGTGCCTTACACCGTGGAGGTACCAGTCGATAAACCGTACCCGGTCCACGTGCCCAAGCCATACCCTGTCTATGTCGAGAAGAAAGTTCCGTACACGGTCAAGGAGTACGTCCCACAGCCGTACACGGTCTACAAGAAGGAGCCGTACCCAGTCGAGGTGCCCGTCGACAAGCCGTACCCCGTCCATGTCCCTAAACCTTACCCCGTGGTCGTCGAGAAGAAAGTACCTTACACGGTGGAGAAGCACGTGCCGTACCCTGTAAAAGTGGCTGTGGACAAACCTTACCCCGTCCACGTGCCTGTCGTCAAGCATGTCCCGTACACTGTAGAGAAGAAGGTGCCTTACAAGGTAGAGGTGCCTGTGGAGAAGCCCGTACCTGTGTCTGTGCCCAAGCCTTACCCGGTCGTTGTGGTGAAGAAGGTGCCTTATACAGTAGAAAAGCCGGTGCCTTACCCCGTCAAGGTGCCTGTATATCACCATCACCACGAGATCGGACATGGGCTGGAACATGGATACTATGACAGCTTTGGGTTTTAAATCCAATTTAATACAGAAAGATGTAGTAGTAATACCTTGTGTACAAATAAAATCAATGTTTGTTTAAGAAATTTTGAACTTGAAGTCTTCCATTAGTTATAAGCCCATGTTTCATGAAGAAAAATTTCTTGTGAACATTGTTTCAAGGAATTCAATAAATTCAACGAGAAACACATTTTTATATAGGTTTATAGCCTCTTCTAATCTTGCATTTGCCCACCCGTCCACATAGGCTACGAATCTGTTGCTGGAATGTATCCATCAAAGCAAGGGGTGAGCTGCTATATTACATGGGTGAACTGTACTGAATAAAATCAGTGGCAGCATATATTAATAAATAAACACTACTCCTTTAATAAATGATGGTAGTGACCAGGATCCGATTCCACGACGTCGCTGCCTTGGGCCCGAAGTCTGTGGCCCTACCACTGAGCCACCGACACACTCGAAGGAAATGCACTTTGAATGATGGAATTTTAAATCAAAATTTGTTTGTGGTCTTATGAATTATGTTTTGGTTTAGTTGTCATTTTTGTGACAATTAATTCAGAAAAGGTAGTGGGGGGAAGAAGGTGCCTTACCTCGTAATGGTGCCTGTCCATGTGTCTGTATATCACCATCACCACAAGATTGGACATGGGCTGGAACATAGATATCACCACAGCTTTGGGTCTTAGAATCATTTCACAGACTGGTTAACCATTTTTGTTTTTCTAGACTAAAATCCTGATGTTTTTCTGATCAATTTACCCTCCAAAATTGAGCTTAATTAAATATCATGATCGTTAAGATGACTTTGAATTAAATATGTGTTACTGTTGGTTACATTTTTTTTAAACATGTTGAATTAGACAACATAGCAAAAGCATTATTTATATTACCGAACTTGATATAGAAAAACAACACACGATACAATAATAGCGTTGAGGAAATGTTTATGATTGAAATCATATATCAGACATTCCATTCCCATATTAGAATTGTAGCAAGATTTAGTATCATAATCACAATGAACGCTGTTGAATTAAGTGTGCTGCTGCTAGTTGCCGATTTCTGTTCTATACACAATTAATTATTTACCAATCCAAATAGGAAGGACAACTTAGTAAACTATGAAACGTACTAGCACAAGCTGGTGATAGAATTTCGTCTCCAAAACCCCACATAGAAACTTAAAGGCCAGTGCATCAGAACCAGTAATGAGTTATAAAATTATCTACTGAACATCAACGATCTCTAATAATTAATTAATGTAAAACGCGTTTGTACATAACACATTTTGACCCCTCCCCCCCCCCAAAATACTAATTTCCCACGTCCCCCCCACCATCCAAACATAAACCTAAAAAATGATTAAACCTTTTAACAAACATCAATGATGGGCACATCAGATTCCTAGCATCTTCCTTTCCATACCACAACACTACAGGCATTGCTGCTGTACACCACCAGATATATTAATTTACTTCCTAGTCTAGATCTACTGGGTCTACCGTACTGATGGCAACCACAGGAAGGTCGTGGCTCTTCACCACGCACCGGATTCTAACAGTTCTTCAGCATCCGATGGCTAGACAAAGTAAAAAACAACACTAAAAAGAATAAGGAATGACTGAATAGGGAGGGTTAAAACAATTTAGCCGGCAAGCTCTGCACCGAAACCCACAGGGAATTAGAAAGGGCAGACAAAGAACCACTTGGAGGAGATCAGTTAAGATATATTCATTATGAATGTTAAATAATTCTTGATAGCATTAATGCTAATTTGTAAGTAAGTGTAAACCTGTTTTGTGTAAGGTGTTTTGTTTGAAATAATAGAAAGATAAGTATGCCAAAACAAGAGATAAAGAGGCCCAAAACATGTGTTAGAGAGCATGGGTTGCAGTTATACATGTTTAATCTATGGTTATACTCTCTCCCGCAGGATTAAAGGTATTAGGTAGAGCATGTGGACTGATTTAAAAAATTGAATCTGAAATTGTACATTAAATGTTAAGGCTTGATTGTAATTTGAGCAAAATTATACATACTGTACATGAGATGTAAAAACATAGATTTAGGAGTAAGAATTCACTTGTGGAGATCGAGGCCAGTTAACAATTGAAATAAATGCGGATGGAAGTGTATTAGTATAAGCTGATGTGTGCATATCCCGTCTGAGAACCATAATGAAAGCTGCAAAATCAGACGAAGGACAATTTCCCCAATAGACTGTAACACAAATTGACAAAGGAGTAAAACCAAAGACACAATTCATAAGACTTCTAACACATATGGGATAAAAGTTCATCCTTGAAACAATGTCCGTTTGTTATTGAGCTTATTGCATTCAATGATACAATTTTCACATAAATGTAACATATTTGCTTATAATTTTTTTTATTTTTTGTTTGCTTAGTGTTTATTTTCTTTCTTATTTTTTTTAAAACAAGCTGCGCATAAATCTAACGGAATACAGTAACAACAAAAATGTGTAAACAAAATTTAATTTTATTTGTACACGAGGTTTTACAACATCATTACATATCAAGGTACATGATAAACCAGTCAGTGAAATAAATCTAAAAATCAAAAATGTGGTGATGTCCATGCTCAAACCCATGTCCGATCTCGTAGTGATGGTGATATACAGGCACCTTGACGGGGTAAGGCACCGGCTTCTCCACTGTATAAGGCACCTTCTTCTCCACAACGACCGGGTAAGGCTTGGGCACAGACACAGGTACGGGCTTCTCTACAGGCACCTCTACCTTGTAAGGAACCTTCTTCTCTACAGTGTACGGGACATGCTTGACGACAGGCACGTGGACGGGGTAAGGTTTGTCCACAGCCACTTTTACAGGGTACGGCACGTGCTTCTCCACCGTGTAAGGTACTTTCTTCTCGACGACCACGGGGTAAGGTTTAGGGACGTGGACGGGGTACGGCTTGTCGACGGGCACCTCGACCGGGTACGGCTCCTTCTTGAAGACCGTGTACGGCTGCGGGACGTACTCCTTGACCGTGTACGGTACTTTCTTCTCGACATAGACGGGGTACGGCTTGGGCACGTGGACCGGGTACGGTTTATCGACTGGCACCTCCACGGTGTAAGGCACTTTCTTCTCGACGGTGACAGGGTACGGCACAGGCAACTTCTTGGTCACCGTGATGGCTTTGACGTGCTCGTGATGATGTTGGACGTGGTGATGGAAGTGTTCGGCGGAGGCTAGCGTCAGAAGACACAGTGTTGCCAGTAGAGCGGTCATCCTGAAAGTGTGCCAGAACAGTTCTTAGTATGGATTATATAGCCAATCTCAAACTAAATAACCACATACACTGTTAGCGCAACATACGACACATAACGTCTACATGGCGGGTACATAACATCCTTCTTAAGAGTTAATGATGCCAATGGAATGTTCCAGCGTTGCATTTTAATTAGTAGCGCAATTTCTCAATGTAGTTACTGATATGATGTCCATATGCTTTGTTCATCGATTGGTAATTATCTATGTCAGCCAATAAAACAATGATAAATTTGTTTTAGATTTCCATCTTTTAAAGAATGATTTTAAAATGTTAAATTTAGCTTATAAGTTGGGTTATTTGTATTTTAATTTATTTGTATAGTTGATTGAGTGATTATATAATTTTTATTTAAAAATTAAATAATGTTTAAAATAAACCATAATTATGGCAGAATAAACTTTTGAGTCATAGCTTCTTTCAAAGTTGATAATTTAAGATAGCACAGTTAGTTGTCACAATGATATTTGGATAGTTTATATTATTTCAATACTTAATAAAAAAGGCTAGGATAATGCACTGATTTGTTTAAACGTTAACCTCATGAAATGCTTTGAAAAGCTAAACACAGGTTTAGGCCTAATTCAAATCATAGTTTGTCACTAACAAAGAGAAGCATTTAGATTCAATTTGTACAGATTTGAACAAAACAATAAATGAAAGAATTTCTAAGATCTTAAACCGTAGGTTTTAGGCCTGTAGTATATTTGAAGAAACAATCAAATCAACATCCACTCCAATGTACAAAAAGAATAAATTGACTGAAATCTAAATGACGTTTTGAGATAAATTCAAACAAGAAATAAATGTGTTAAAATTTTTCTAATTTGATTTTCAAGACGAAACAAGAACAATTTATTTTGCATATTAAAATGAAACGTTACGTTGATCACAAGGTGCAAATCACTACCTATGGGTTTCATTAAAGTTGCCTGGAGACTAGAGTGGGTGGGTGACAGGGTGCTCTCCTAGGTCCACTGTTGTTCCGCTCGAGTTGTCGGGTTATTGAGGCTCGACTCACACTCAATTACTCAAGTTTGCTTCCTGGATGTCCGGATCATTTGATTTTCGGACATCCTTCTTCACTAAAGGGTTCTCTGTAAACAACATCTACCAGTCAATGTTGTTAGTGCTATTGGCATAACGAGTCTTAAGTAACCTAGATTAAAATTAAAACTAGAATCGCATTTTTAGAAGCACATGTTAAAAATGTTTGCAAAGTACACAAATCAAAGATTACAGTGTAACTGCAAAATACTGTTTTTAGTAAAAAACCCTCAATTTGTTTTCGGCGGATAGTTGGTCCATTATACTGAATGCAGGTAGACTAACAATCTTTGAATAGATTTAGCTAAAATATAAAATATTATTGCAAAACTACAAATCAAGAAAAATATTTGATGCCTTGAATTTTAAAATTATAGAAAAAGGGTTATTCAGTAGTGGTCAAAAAAACGGCTTCGCATACTATTTATAAGGGTTGATTGTTTATTAGGTTAAAAATAATCCATATTTTTACTGTAAGTTAAAACTTTGGTTAGACAATATAGCAGCCGAATTCGAAATACTACTCGATAAAAGTGATTTGAATCCCTTAACGTAGTTTAGAAACACATTAAAACCAGGTCAGACCTAATCAAGTCGCAACAATTAACCACAAATGATCCCAAGTGTGAAAATCCTCACCCAAGAACATTCTTGGGTAAATTATTTCGCATGTTTTCGGAAGCCGCTTCATCTAATTGTAGTCGAAGACAAAGGCGCATTTCTTTGTTATGATATTACCATTGTGTTTTTTATGTTCGCACCCCCGAGCGCGTCGAATGCACCCCTAGGTGACTCAAAGTGCCGCCTCCCTCCAGCGCGCGAGAAGTTAGTTCCGACCCATTGCGGTCTAATGCGCGATCCCCGAAATAATATCTCAAGAGAAAAAATGTCAAATGTGAAGAGGAAATTGGTAGTAGACATATCTGTCTCATAGCTCACCTAATAAAGGGTGAATCAAGCCACCCTTATGGCTGTGACGAATTTATCGGGAGGGATTATTAAGATGTAGAAATGGATTTAGAATGATTTTAGACTGAAAGTTAAAGAATAGAGCATAACTGGTTTTATTATGATGTTATTGAAAGCAGCCAATGGAATACAATGGTAATCAAATGGATATTTAACATGTGAACTCCTGAAATCTAAGTATAAAGTATTTATTTAATTAATGGAGGCTCTATGGATATATAGTACTGTAGAGTAATGTATATGCAAGCTGCAGTTACTAAATTTATACAGTTGCGATAATAAACTAGGTGATTTATCACTTAAAATTTTAACGTGTGTTATTTCAGCGTTTCGTCACAAACAGGGTGGCTGAAAACTAACTTGCACCCCCATCAATTTTTGAAATCCGTTCGTTGCAACGTTCTTAGTTATGAGGGGCTACAATAATTATGGTTATTTAAAAAAAAATACCCATAGCAGTGGGGGTGGGGGTAGGGTTTAATTCAAAATTCTCAAATAGGAAGTATGGTGGACTTTCATATCATTTTATAGGCAGCCTATTGATGAAACAAAACAATCGACAAAATGAAAAGAAAAGTTGGACCACTAATAACAAGATAGCAACTAAAAACTGTCCACGCTGTATGTAGTCTTAGAAACGTAATAACGTAATTTTTTATATTTTTTATTCCTAAAACGTATACGTCAAGACTCAGTGGGAAGCAAGGGGGTTGATGTTGATGTGAATATTTCCAAAAACATTTTAACAACTCCAAAATGAACAATATCGGCCTACGCTTTTATTAGGTTTTGGTGTAATATAATTTCATTCTATTCCAAACCACCATTGGGGTATACAAATCGAGATGTGTCGTTTTGTGATAAAAATGTATCAATTCTGAGTTTGAAAAGATATTAAGGCCACAGTGTAGTAATAGCTTACTATAATACTTAACTATTTAGAAGAAAAAAAACAAATTTGACACTTTAACGAAGTAAACACCATAGTGAAACCCCTATTAATTATTCAAAATATTGTCCATATGAAGTTTTTTTTCACTATTCTTCCATGTTTTTTTAAGTACCAGAGAACCCATCAGATTACTGTACAAAGTGTTTCAGTGTGAAGTCAGTGTCAGTGTGTTTCCCTTGTCAGTGTCACACCCTTATAATCATCCCTATTTCGTCACCCTGAGCGTCGCCGATGCCGACCTGTGTTTAATGTTTTTGCACGTGTCAAGGTATTTGCCCCAGTTCCGGACGCGTGCGTGATTTCCATTTCCCGTGTCTGGTCACGCACCCGCGGCCTCTCTGTGATCATCCCCTAGTTCGGGGGTTCTAACGAGGAGTCGGTAACGACGCCCTTAGCCGAAATTGCCGTTAGGTAAAAACTGTAACGGTTAAAATCCTACTGGTCGAGTAATTTAATTGGGTGAACTACTTTTGTTTTGAGTTGAATTGCAAGTTGTCTTGAAGATGGGCTGCATGTGGAATCGTCTGTTACTATCTTCACAAGCTTATTTTTTATAGACAATAAAATAACAATAAAATAAAATAAAATAAATGTAAGCAAATGTGTATTGGAATAAAATTAAAAACGAGCCGTTCAAAGAGTGTGCCAAAATCATAATTTCTATTCGATCCTTATTTTGATACTATGATATTATGGTTTTAATGGAAAATAATGGATGCCATAAGTTTATGGTTGTTCTTTTACTTAGGCTTGGCTTAAATTTCCTCAAAAATCAGTAAGATACATCGAAGCTCTCCGTCGGTGGTTAGATTCAACCTCATACTTTTATTTATTGGTGCAATTCTAACATGAACATGTGATGTCTAATTCTATTAATTTATATTCACCTTCGTCAATATGATTTACATCTATATGGAGAAGCATAGTAACAAAATACACTAGAACCTTGGTAACAAGACCCTCGTTCAAATATCCTTGAATCTATTTTACCCCTAATTTCATCTCATTGCAAACCTCGATAAGAAGTCAATTTTGATGACAATTCAAATTTAATAATTCCCATGAGTGTCTTGTTATCTAGGTTCTACTGTAGAACAAAATAGACGAAACTATCAAAATGGTGTCAAAAGATAAACACTTTCAAAGTCTCTTTACAAACCACACCACTAGCAACTTCCAAAACGTTTTCGCTACTCATTATCCAATAACTTCAATTACTCAACGTTTTCAACGTGACCAGCTCGTTTGAGCTTATAATTTGTTGTTATCGTTCCGGTCCTTATAGTGCGGATATAAATAGTTAATTGGAGACAGGAACAATAGAGGGGGAGCAGCTGATGGCACGCGACTGGCACAGTTGGCCAGCGGGGCCCGACCTGGGGCTGGGGTCCGGGGCCTGGTGCTGGGGTCCGGGGCACAAATCAGAACATGTGCTACTGATACGCCACCTCTCGTTATGTGGAGAGTTTACTGGGAGACACATCGACAGGAGAGCACGTGTGGGGGACTGTGGGGTGTACAATGTAGGGGCATGTGTAGATGTGAAAAGTAACACAATAGCTGCTGAGTAGCTAGGCTTTTCTAGTGTAATCAGAGGATAGGCGAAAAAAGTCTAAAGCTTAGTGAAAATTGACACTGATGTCCTTGATTAGACTTTGGTTTCCTGGCCCTAACTGAGTATTGAAAGAACCAAATGATTTTAATTTGAAATTCAAACAATATTTATTCATTGAGTATTTGGTACATTGAACAGTGTAGTGTCTCTATTCTATTTCTACCAACTTGCTCAAAACAATAATAGGAAAGTTCAAATAATAAATTACATACAATAGAAAGTATAAACAAGAATATATAACCAATATGCATGAAATAAGACAACTAATGAAAAAAGCTTAGCATCCAAAATCCCTTCACGTTAATTAGTTAGTGATGGAAATAAAGTACATTATCATCTGATTTTAGAAACATAACTGTACTCCCGTTAACTACACAATAATCTTTCACCTTAAAATAAACATGATGAGACTGTGTTGAAATGTATGAATTTAGTGATGCTATCCAACAAAAAGGTCGACGTTAGATAATAATGAGATAAGGGTTTAGAACGTTCCATTTTAAAACGTAAAAATAAATAGGCTTACTAGTAGAAGACACATACACACAAAAAATATGTAATGTAATATACTACAAAAAGTTACAGGATAGTAGTTGGATATCAGTGTGTATAAAATTTGCTTGGTAATCAAAAGATCATGGGTTCGATTCTAAACTAGTCCGAAGCTGTTTTAGCTTTTAGCTTGTCTGGAGAACTAGCTGATCTTATCCAGTAGGCTGAAATTCCGTTCATTCTGAATCATTCTATGTACATTCATCTTTAACTCCTCTCCTTTTTAAAATACAAATATTGTTCATCACTACTTTCTGGGACCGCCCAATCTCATGGAAAGTAGGGTGAGTGCACCAGTGAATGACCACCCCCTAGTGATTGGCCGTTTTGTATAAAAAACATCATATCAGGCTTTCTGCTGTTCCTAGACCATCACAAACTGTTTTAAAAGTACCTTTTGGGTCTTATAAAAATACACTCTCCTGTTACTATTGGTCCTTGCATTAAATATGTGTAGGTTTATAGAAAAAACGTTTATAATTTCTTGAGAAATCATTTATAGCTGCAAGTTAAGCTTAGATGGTTTATTTAGCAAACAGTCGATATTATTTTACGATTAAAAATCGATATTATTACAAACCAATTAGTATTTTATATAATCCACACCGATAGTGTTTTAGTAACAGTATAAAAAAATACAATTTTTATACACTTATTCCTTGAAACGAATGTTGCAAAACAGCGTGTTAAGGAGTGTTTGTCAGGGTGAAGAAAAGCACGTAATGATGATTTCACGGTAGAAATCTATTATTTCAAAATGACGGACGTCGAGAGCGGAGGTGGTCTTCAGGTCGAGCGCGGTGGTCACTCGCAAAAAAAAAACAATGACTTTTATTTTTGGCCACTGACCCAATACATGGGTCATCCCATAATTTTTGTGGCTATTGAGTAATTTCGACGAACAAAAGAAAACTGATTAAGAAATAAACAATGGAAGTTATTAGATGTGCAATGGAAATATCAGGTAACAAGTTCATATTAAGTAAGAGAATGAACCTCCTCCAAATAATGAATATATAAAAACAGCATGAGATTGCCTTCGATGAGTCTAAAATACTGAAATGGGATATTCAGTTGAGACAAAGAAATTGTTGTAATTTAGTCCGTCAGTAAAGGTCCAGTTAATGATAGTAGTAGAGGTATACAGATTATCTTAGAGTTCTAGTGATGAAAATGATACAGTTACAAAGAACTAGAACTTGGTAACCAAACTCTTTGGTAGTGGGTCAGTTATTGATGGTGATCTAGATCATCGGTAGAGGACCGATATATAGTTAATGATGGTAAAGTAGATCTTATAGATGGCTAGTTATCGGTGGTAATGTAAGGTCATTGGCAGTGGACCAGATGACAACAAAATTCGTCGGAAGAGGGCCAGTTAAAGTAGGATCGCCAGCGTCAGATACAGTTAGTGACGTGTCAATCGTCCAGGCGCCTGTGGCGGCCAGTAATGACAAGTCGGTGGACGCAGATTACAGTATTGGTGCAAATTGTTTGTTTTTCGGACAGACCTCCGAGAAGTTGCAAGTCAACGTTTACGCCCACTTAGCGATTTTTCAAACTAGATTCTCGTTTGGGGATCGTTAGCCATTTTTGAGAAAGTTGTAAATGACAGAAGATAATACAGCGGTTAATAGTTTGGCTGAAATACATTTGTTGTAAAACTAATAAGACACTATCATTGACTTTGGATTGATAGTCAAAGACACTATTCATTCACCCATCATTTATGATTAGGAAAATAATATCTGTATTTTCTCTACAATTCAAGGTCCTGTTAAGAAAGAACCTGAAAGAAGGATTAGTTAAAGAATTTCTTCTCATTAAATTGGCTTTTCAGCCGGACTTTTTTACCATAATTTAAATAAATGGTAAAAGATTTATTCAAAGATTATATGTTGTTGTAAATGGTATTAAAAGGTTTAACAACCACCACTAGCCTAATTACGAACTCTAACAATATTTCCGCCATTGAAGGATCTCCAAACGTGACAAGTGAATGAGATGAAAGGAACGTGATACCCTAAATGAGCCCGAATGAGCCGAAGCTTATTTTCAACCTTGTAACTTAAAACCAAAGGCTTCCCGATGTTAGGGGTGCCGCCACGCCGGGGGTGGCCTAGAGTGCATTAACGGATTAGCTTTGAGGGCCAAACTAGCGGACAGAATCGCTTCAGCGGTCAGCCGAAACATCGGTGACCATTGACAAGAGCGGCGAGACAAGCTTTGTAAACGTACCTTTATAATCCGCGGATTAGACCAAAGATATAACACGCGCCCTTTTGTGGCGTGGAAGTTTCAATGTGTACGACTGACTTTGGTTGGGTCTTCTGTGATACCCCATCCAGTCAGCAAGCTAAGGACGTAATTTCGAACCGACTTTTCAGCTTAAAAGCTAAATGAGGGAAACAATCTGTTATTAGTTAGTTTTGATCGTCAATGCTACTACCAAAGCCTACTTCAAAATAATAAAGAAATGTAAATTTTTGAACTCAAATTTTAGGATTTTTAATTCTAATTGAAACAAATTTACACTTTGTAAAATTTTTGATTCAAAGAAAAATAAATTCGTTGTAAATTTTAACACGAATGATGATTGAACGGTCTAAGTTCTCATTGTAAACTATTCGGAACTTAAAACCATTACATTTTGTGGTAAAGAACTTATCCATGATTATTTTATAAATACATTACAGTTACTGGTTCAATATTTACAAGTGTATACTATACATTTCATTAAATTTATTTGGTTCTAGTTACCCAAGAATGCGGAACACATTGACATATTAAATCGTAAATAAGAACTAGGACAAACAGCGAAGAGCGTTGCATGTGTCTCAAGTGATGTAATGTGTAATAATTACCATCTTACATGAATGAGCCGGAGACCGTCACGCTGGTCGCACTCGACGCAGGATAAAACCATCAGTGGTCGTCACAGGCAGCACACTCAGCTGTCCAGCAGCAGACATGAAATATCTCCTGGTCCTTCTGTTGGTGGCGGTAGTCTTCGCCGAGGAGAAAAAGGTGGAGAAGAAGGCAGAAGAGAAGCAAGACGACAAGAAGCAAGACGACAAGAAGCAAGACGACAAGAAGCATGACAAGAGAGGAATAGAAGAATTCGGAGGACACGACTTTAGTGGCGGAGACTTTGGTGGACACGATTTCGGTGGACATGATTTTGGTGGACATGATTTTGGAGGTCATGACTTTGGAGGCCACGACTTCAGCAAACACCGCCACCACGAGGTGAAGACCATCACAATTCAGAAGGAGGTGAAGGTTCCATACCCGGTCCACGTGGAGAAGAAGGTACCGTACCCTGTAAAGGTGCACGTCGACAGGCCGGTCCCATACCCTGTGGAGAAACCTTACCCGGTGACTGTGGAGAAGAAAGTGCCTTACCCTGTCAAGGAGTACATTCCTAAGCCTTACCCAGTTGAGAAGACCATCCATTATCCAGTGAAGGTTCCAGTTGACAGGCCATACCCCGTGCATGTGCCCAAGCCTTACCCCGTCTACGTAGAGAAGAAGGTACCCTACCCTGTAGAGAAACACATCCCTTACCCGGTCAAGGTGCATGTCCCCCGGCCTGTCCCCTATCACGTTCCTGTTGTCAAACATGTGCCCTACCCCGTCGAGAAGAAAGTTCCTTACCCCGTCAAGGTGCCAGTTGAGAAGCCAGTTCCCTACCCTGTGGAGAAGCCTTACCCCGTCTACGTAGAGAAGAAGGTTCCCTACCCTGTGGAGAAGGAGGTGCCGTATCCAGTCAAGGTTCCGGTTCACATCCCGGTCCATGTCCACAAGCATCATGAGCATGAGGAACATCACTTCGGAGGGGACGAGGGTTTTCACGGCGTTAGTGAACACGGAAGTCATGGACATGGATTTTAAACATATCATAATGTGAGTACAAAGTAACTGTATAATGTAAAATAAAATATTTTGTAAATAATCTCAGTATTATACTTTATGTTCCTTTTTATATTCAGTGGTCCAGCTAGTAGTTATAATCGTCATAGCTATCTGAGTTTATTGATTCTTAGTGTGGGCTGGTGTGTATCATTCACTAGACTGGCCTGTTAAAATTGAAATAACTTTTGAAAACTGTTAATGTGTACCTTAGGATGAAAAAATTACTTGTTGCCATTTTTTTCATTATTAAATACAGCCCCAATCCAAGATGGCTACCAAACGTCGCAAAAACGTGACTGTAAATTAAGATATAAGGGTTATTAATGAATTTCCCAATTTTTACAATTTCTTTCCAAACCATTTTTTAGAGCTTAAAAAAAAACAAATAATTTAGTATATTGAAGCTTTGTTGTGCGCCTAATGGTTACGGAGAAAATTCCAAAAAAATTTAAATTTAAAATTTCTATGTTGTTCCTATGGAGAATAAGTCAACTTTTGTAGTTTGCTTGTTTATGAACATATTTTGATCGGATTTGGATACTTTCATTTCTTACTAAACTATTAATATTTTACAAAAAAAGACACTTTTACCCTCCCTGTTGCAGCAAACCTAAGTACTCGTTAAACTAATTCTATTTAAATAGGAAATAAATGTGATATTTTTATGGAGGCATTTTAGTGTGAATCGAATCAGGTTAGTGGAAATTCGCTTAGTCTGCAGGTTTGCTGCGGCGGGGGTATTTTTATAAATTTTCTTTACAATTATAATTATATTTTTTTTGTGTTTAGGCATTGTAGGAACAAAACCAGTTGTAAGATAAATTTTTTAACTTTTGTGAGTATAACGGCCACTGGTATTTGTGCTAATTCGTGTAAAAATTACTAAAAATTTTATAGAACGGTGACACATTTTTATGGATTGACAGTTTAATAATGAAAGCTGGCTATGGTATTTATTGATACTACAGACTAATTGTTTAATAGATTACTGTGAACAATAGTGTACTCGGAAGTTAAAATATTTAATAACAAAACTTACATCGCATACTAAACACATTATAAGATACAGATATTAAATATCTAAATGTATAAACTAAACAGTCATTGTTTTCACCATCAAAATCTGTTGCTCGTTCTAATGGGATGTTGTTACACTCAGCACATCCACACAATTCAGTGCAACACATCTTTTCGCCAAGCAAGAACAATATGCCGACTTGCCCCCATACACGGGCGAGCATGTTCCCAGCACTCTATCCTACTATGCCACCGAGGCCGAAAAATATTTAATAACAAAACTTACATCGCATACTAAACATATTATAAGATACATATATTAAATATCTAAATGTATAAACTAAACAGTCATTGTTTTCACCATCAAAATCTGTTGCTCGTTCTAATGGGATGTTGTTACACTCAGCACATCCACACAATTCAGTGCAACACATCTTTTCCCCAAGCAAGAACAATATGCCGACTTGCCCCCATACACGGGCGAGCATGTTCCCAGCACTCTATCCTACTATGCCACCGAGGCCGATGTCGGCAAACTGTATCGTTCCGGTAATGGTGTTCCCTCAGTCAACCTGAAGCCTCCAAATGCCACTGTTGGAAAAATTAATCCTGAAATAAAAATTCAGCCGCCGGTACGAAGGCTCGCACACAGACCCCACACACGGGCGAGCATGTTCGCCGCCAACACCGTCACGAACATGCTCGGTGATTTCTAGCTGCTATAATGAACAAATGCAGTAGGCTACTTTCTTCCTTCACCTTAATTACCTTATCGCAAACAGATATTGCCTTTGTCACATTTGATGACTTAAACGTCATCAAATTACTTGTACGTCATTAGTTTTACTTCACTCATACGATCCCAAACGCAAATCTCACCTTTACCCAAGTGCTGATGGACAAACGTTTCAAAACATTCTTGTCCTATGGTACCACCGTGGTTGATCATTTGCTTCCTTTTCGGTCATAACTTGTTCAGAAGCAAGGTATGTAGCTTGGTTTCACTTTCATCAAAAGTGCAATGTGAGAGAGTTACATATTCGTCTGTATTGTGTTTAGCTTGCTTCCCCAAATTTCGTGGTGCATAGTCCTTATGGGATCCATGTTAACATTGTACCGGTTTTCAAACTCATCACATAATCATGGCATTTCTGGTGCTAGGTGCACCAGAATAAAGAACCTGTCAAAGGCAATGTCATTCTGTGTCAATCCCACTATTTCACCAATTACGTTCAGTTTCCGGTTTTCATGCTCAATCCCATGATCAAGAGCCCGTGTCGTGAAAGGCACAGATCTAGGTATTGCTAAAATAACATTATCAGCAATCTGACACATATCTTCTCCCATTAGCTTGTCAACAACCGTTATCATGGGTTAGCGATGAGAGAGAATATAAAATATTTAATATGTAAAGTCAAAACAGTTGCATTAACGTTTGAACCTTAATTTTTACAGGAATGATAGATTGCACTATTTTGTTAAGAATTATAAGGACCATCAAAAATACTAATTTCAATCAAAACCGGTTTCCATTTGAAATTCCTATTTTATTTTACTTCCTGAGGTTTGTAGGGGAAAATAACACGATAAATTTAAACCGTAATTTTTACAGGAATGGGAGTTCTACCATTTAGTATACGAGCCTGTCTCCTGGCCCTCCGCCTACCTGGGAACTGCCCAAAGGAGGGCTTGGAAGACTTTGGGTTAGAACTCTAGAGACAGATCCCATCATACAGACTATAGTCTTTTGACCTGAAAATATTGTACAATAACTCAAGACTCATAGACAAACACTGCCAATCTCGTGTCCACCGACAACAGAATGTAACGTAACAATGGAGTGTGTAACTCGTGAAAACTATACAATAACATTAACACATATATGTGGTCTCGGAGCGTAAACTCGTGCATGTAGAGCGTAACGATAGCTCATTAGCGTTACGTTAGGATGTGAGTGTTACGTCACAGGACGGAACTTCCACATATCCTATGGTCAGCATCCGCAACCATGCAACCAGGGTGAGCAACCGTGCAGAGATGCAACCTCGGTTACTCAATGGCATTAGTCTTGCGCATTAGTTAAGATACAAGTAATTGTATAGTTAAGAAGTGGTTAAACTTTTGGAGTTGTGAGCAATGGTTGAAAGAAATTGAAGTTTTGGAGACATAATGGGGAGTTGTAGGGAACCAAGGTAGAAGGCTCACTAAGAAAAGTCTTTGGACAATCTTAATGTTTTGCCGACGAGAGAAATTTCCCCTAACGTCATTTTCAACTTTTTATGAAGGGGGTAAACCATGCGCTTTTAAGATTTTTAATCTTAATGGTTAGATTTACAAATTGAACCTAAAAATTCTTGTTTTTTAAATTCCATCGATGAAAAGTAAAAACATATGAACACTAACACGAAAACAAGATTTTTTACATTTTCAAGCTCCCCTCGGTTTCTTGTGTTATGTTATTGTACTAAGGGAATCGGATTGCGGGTTGTTAAAAAATAGTCAGTTTAGTTTGTAATTTTATGTTTTGAAAAACTAAAGCGGGAACTATCACACTACTCCGATGTCTTAGTTCTCTAATGTATAATATTCGTGCCCCTTTACACACAATTTCAAACAAAACAAATTTTACCTCCTTAACTGCCCCACCAATCGTACCGGCCAAAAGTCAGTAACAAGACTCTGACAAGGGCAACCTCCCCTGTAATCCATCAGTCGGACCCCGCTAATCAAAATCGGCCCGCGGCCGAATGCAATAAAAAGTACGCGAAAATGCTAAACCGAAAATGGCATTTAATACGAACTGCAATTAAAAGGCACGAGGGTACGTGGCAATTTGGCCAATTTGGCAGTCAGGAGAGTGTACAGGATGCAAGCAAGTGTTTGGGTAGAGGTCAGTGATTGCAGTGACGTGCAGCGTACGCCCACAGGTAATCAGTGATTACCGCAGTTTTAGAAGTTCGCCAATTTCGGTGGACCAGGCTAACTACAGCGGCGATGCACTTTAATTGGAAAATTAGCGACTGAAATCCCTTTTCCCTCCAATTGTGGATTTCCTAGAATTTTTGGGTTTATGGGATTAATCAAGAGTGTATTGTAGGTGAATTTTTAATTTGAATCAGCAAATTTGGCGCATAACTTATTTTCTTTAATTAGTATTTATAAATTCTTTGTTAGTAAGGAATATATAAACCAGTGTTATAACGAAGGAGGCACTCCTTCTAAATTAGCAGTGAGAATATAAGGCTTAATTCCCACTATTAACTAATTTAAGTCGATTTAGAATTCAACATCAGTTATATCATTTTTAGTATCAAAATGTACAGTATAAATTGTGACATAGTAATTCCAAATCGAATAACACGAATAAAACCCTTCAATTATAGAATTACGTTGAGAGAGAACAAATAAGCCATAAAAACAATGCCAATCTCACCCTTAAAAATTAAAAGATGAATCCACGTAGATGCGCTGAGGTATTACACAATGAATGGGCCACGAGCCCAGCAGCTGCCCAAATGATGAATAATTGAACCGCAGAACAAAAGCGGGGAAGTGGTCTGATTCTGGACAATTTGTTCTCAATTCAACTTGTATAATTGATTACAAATGGATATTCGACCCAATCATGCGGCTTTGTCTCAGAGAAGAAGAAGAAGGGTCACGAGGTCGGGGATGAGACAACCCCTATCTGACCTGGATACCTTTGAGTGATTAAGCGGAAAATCACTCCTGATAGGAAAATGTTCGGATCGCGATTTTCGGTTTCCGGCAAGGAGAATCGCAGTGACATCGCCTAATGGAGGCGGCGGGGGCGGAACTAACCCGACCCGACGAAATGTTGGAGATTTCGTTAATTGGAGCTCCCCGGGGGTAATTCACGTCCATTCAGACAGAAAAATATCGATCAAAATTACTCTTGGATTTGGGGCACAATGCCGTTACGTTCCGTATTGTTGTGGAAGGAAGTGAAAAA